ATAAAAATTTTATGACAAAAACATTGGAATTTGGCACACAGTCAGAGTATGTCATGGAAAGGTATTGGGCTATAGGGCCATTGCATATATTTGTATTTTAAGAAAAATATAAGTAATAACCAGCACTTTTCAATTTCATCATATTGTGCACCGATTGCCTATATACTGTGAAAAAAAATGCAACACTCCATGCAAATGTCATGAAACCGTAATATTCTGTTGACAAACGTCCAGGCACAAAATATCAACCAAAGGCCTCTCCAGTGCAAGCATTGACGGTGGACCAATTGGAAACAAGGTAAGACTGGGGTTTCCATTCATAATATGAACTGTCCCAACGTCTAGGTCTTTGTTTCCCCTAAAGATCAAGGCTCATCATCTTTAACATATTAATTTCCAATGGTTCATAACCAGGACCTTGTTTTTAATAAATAACAAGTAAGAAAAAGTCCCAATTTCTATTTTCTTTAAAACAACTTTCCCTGGCATGTGTTATCAACGCAGTGTGGCTACAAACGGATGGAGTCCTAGTATTTCAACCATGGGGATTTGGAAAAGACGTCATGGCTGTACTGTCATGTAAGTCCCTTAACCACCAATAGCCCCTGAAAAACGAAACTGCATTACACTCTCTGCATTCTTGCAGTTCAATTCAATATCACTTTCAGACAATATTTGCCACGTCGTGTTATTTTCATTGAGCGTGTTCTTTTTCCAGATTGAATACAAAATTCCAGGGTTGACTGGACAAGTTCGGCACAGTTCCATTGTGACAAAACTTCAATTGATAACTTCTCTATGACTCACCTGGCGCCTTCATCCTTTGCGTAGTTCATATTCAATACCGTGGCCTGTTGAACGGGTTAAATATAGTTCACACAAGTACCAGCATTGTTGCAGTACTAAGCCTACATGGAGTCGTGTGTGTAACGATATACAACGTGAAAATCCACGATGGCCGCTTTCACAGAAACATTGCCTGGGTTAATTTTACGAAAGAAAGGGTGAAAACTGGAACTACCAAAATCTGGGTTGTTCTATAACCAATTGTTTGAGTTACAATTTATGTTAGATTTGGTCTTGAATGACCACAGGCTTTGGTTGAATTTAGCAGAAATTAAATGCCTAAGCATAACATTATAAAGGCACACAGGCGGTTTCGGGCAAGAATACAATTATACGTTTTAAATTATACACTTGCCAGCCTTTTAAACAAAAAGAACAATACTACGATATGCATAAAGCGCAGAAGATGCCTCGTTAAGATCATGTACACATCGCCTAATCCTGGGCAAACTAATGAACGGAGTGGTGAATTAATTCCGTGTTGTGTATGGGTACAAGCCTTTGTCGGGCCAAATTATACGGGGAAAAAGAAACCTCAATTAAATTTGAAATTGTCCACACATAAAGTTAGCAAAGTGCTACTTGTGGCTACTGGAAAGTGCTGGCGTTTTTAATTTCTGGGGCAAAATAAAGATGTCACGGTCGCTAAAGTGCTCCCTGCTCCCAAATCCGCCTTGCCGCGGCCTTGACAAAGTCATCTCTAGTTTTGCTCGAAGTCTGGACTAATTCAAATTGTACAGCCAGTCCCGATCAATGGCAAACAATGTCAGGCCTAAGTGGTGATAGAGGGCGTTATCAACATTGTTCTAGCCTTGCTCCAAGATTGGACTGATTCGAATTTTACAGCCACTCCCGATCTCTGGCAAGCGATGTCAGGCCACCGTGGCGGTAAAGGGCGATTTCAATATTATGAATGCAATTTAGTCCAAGGAACTTTGCCACTCGGACCCGAGAAAAATCCGGACATATTGCACAGCGAAGGGTTTTTAGATAGGAACGACGACCAGTCACGAAAGTCCCAATCAGTTGTCTCTCCAGATTCACAACTGTCATGCCTTCACGACCAGGCGTTAATACAATAAGCATCTCGCCATTGAATGCGCAGTGAGTTGCTGTAGAGCCGTCGTCGAGCTATGTATCAATAACTGCATCAAACATCTTGACGCACTTCCCTGATTTCAGATTCCAGATCTTTACAAAGGCATCTTCAGATACGCCGATGACAATACCATCTCTGAGACGACACGAAATTACTCTCCTCACACCAGAATAGATCGCATGCAAGCGAGAACAATTGCGTACATCCCAAACCCGAACTTTATTGTCAGCGTACACCCCTGCTGTGATCCCATCCTTGTAATAGAGGTGATTCAGATTCGAGCATCCCTTCAGGATACAACGAGAGGCTCCGTCTGCAGCATTCCAGACCAAAATCTCATCTTCTGCAGGGTATTGAAAATATTCTCTTAGTATAGCAGCACTAACGACTGTCTTACCATCAAAGAAGAGATGAGAAACAGCCAGACGATGTCCTCACATGACTCGCATTTGATCTCTTGGCGAATTAGGCACGAATCTTACCGTCACTGCATCCTGCAGCAATGATGCCATCCTTCATTTTCAAAGCATCTCTCTTTCGACTGATATTTCATACTTTGATGAGATGTTGGCGAGACCCATGGGAAACATTCCAGATGCAAAGTATTATTACTAGTACCAAGTGCTAGATAGTCCCCTTCTGTAGACAAACCGGTCTTCTGCACGACGCTTGACTACTTATTGGGGTTAGGTTTGTCTGTAGCAAAATGAAAAGAAACACTGTAAGGAAACATAAAAAAAAAATCGGTTGAAAGAGTTTTCTTGCACGAAAACAAAAGAATTTCCACACTAGGTATGTAACGTAAACATTATGGGTGTGTGTGCGTGTACAAACACTGCCTTGTGGGGTACCGAAACAATGGGAGGTACCCCACAAGGAATGCCCACCGACTTGCGAGGCACCGTTTTGGTAACCCACAAGTTTTTCACGAAATAGATATATGGATTTTACTCAAAAATTTTAGTATTCCGCTGCGCTCATCTCACCCGCATTGCTGCATAATGCAGAATAGCACCGCATAGGCTGGTTTCGAGTGTACGGCCGGACAGCAGGTTGCAAACCGGATGCATTATTTATAGGCCTAGCTATACTGATACTTAACTCTTCGTCGATTCATCGATAAAGAGTCCGAAAAGTATTCCCTGCGGTCATGACATCCATTAATTAGACACGATATTTAGAGGTTCACCGGGGTTAGCCGAATGAACAAAAACTGTTAAACGTCCTGCCTTTTTGAAAAAAAGGAAGTTGGCCCCACTTTTGTTTTTTAATGGCCATCGCTTGGACTCAGGAAATGACATTCCAGCTTAATATGGGCTAGATGCCACAGACAAAGAGGCCAAAATGATGTCACTGTTTAAGATTTATCATCTTTCGTTTAAAAGAAAAGAAACAAAAAAGGAGGCGGCCTCCAAAAAGGAAGCGGGCGGGGACGCTCAACATGTTTTTTTATTTTTTATTTGGCCTTAAAGATTTGAATTATACAATGTAGTGACAATGACTGAGGGCAAAGGTATTTCAGATAAGATGGTGAATGCATCGACACCATGGGATCGAGGTTGATGATTACAAACAGGACGCTGGGATACGCTGATGAGCTTCACAGAATCTTGTGAAGGAAGTGGCCCATGACCTTTGTATAAAGCATCTGGGTCAGCTGTTTAAGACCGCAGTTAGCCCATGCGTGCAAATGCTTTCCGAAAACTTTCCCATAGAAATACGCACATTCCATACCGGATGTGAGGCTGTTTCATTGCGGACCATGTGGACAAAATGTTGAGCGTCGCACAATGCAATCCGACCGTTCATGACTCAAAACGGAGCCTGAGCAAGTGACGGGAATTGCAAATTTAAAACTCCGATAATTTTACAGAATTTCCTACATTATTACGCTTTTTTCAACGGGAAACAAATCTCTAAACTGGAATTCAAGAGTAATAAATCAGTCTTAACAGCCGTTTCAAACCTTGCAGAGTCATGGCCGTGTTGACGCGCAGGTCAAAGGTCACGCAAAATCCAACCAATCAGAGCGCGAATTCATCAGAGTATCCAAGCGTCCTATTTGCAGGGCGGGGGTCCGAGCGAACCTTTGCCTAGTTTGGTTCCCAGACCAAAAGATTCTGACTATTCCTGATGAATCTTAGGTGAGGTAGCCTCCGGGAATATATTGTATTACAATTTACGTCACGTGACAAAAAACGGGAGGAATTTCTCCTTTTCCCCAAAATGTCCCAAGTTTTTTTCCGAATTCATTTCGTAGACAATTGGACAGCGCCCGAGTATTTCCAAGTATAGTGTAGGTTTAATTAACTGCTAATTGCTTATTAAAAACTTTTTAAAATGAGTTAATAATTAATATTCATTGCTTTCACTAAGAAAACTTGAAATTCAACGACGGATCATATGGGCGAACTTTTTGCTGCATCACGTACTTTTTTGAATTTGACGACCCTTACCGAGATTTTCCAAAACTCGGTCTTCATTCGGCTCCGCCTGCCAACAGTGCTATTTGGGTGACTAAATTTTAAGATTCCAGATCAACATTAGTAAATGTTATCTTACAGAAATATCAAACTGTATAATCATAACTGCTTACGAAGCAAGTGATTTATTTTAAAACAAATTGTTAGTTGATAACGTTTACATGAAAAAAACAAAAACAAAAACAAACAAACAAACAAACAGTCAGCAGCCACCAATGTGGCATGAAGAGACCAGGTACAATTCATAAATACCTAAGTTTACCCATTCCTATTGGTTGGGAGCCCGTCACGTGGCCGGTCGTAAAAGGTAGATAAAACAACCGGCTGGCGTCTTCTTTGCCAGTGTAATATGAAATTTGACTCCTATGAAATCCATCCCTTTTACTCTTGTATTGGTTGACCGGCTCGAGTCCTTAACAGCGTCCGGACTCCTAACATTGGGTTTAAAACCGGCCAAACACATTTGTATTCCCTTATTAATACAATCTTTTTGTACTTACACAAAATGTTGAGAAGATAAAACATCATTTTTGAAACCATTAAACAATTTAATACGCGTAATGTTTTTCATGTTTTTTACTACAACCACGAGGAAAGATTCTACTGAACCTGAAAAAAAATATCAAAATAAGGCACAAACAAAATCCTTGAAAGTGAAAAACGCCACAGGGTTTCAAGTCTTATTTCCAAGCGTGCACGACCATAGATTCATAACCGTAGAGGACATGTCTGGGCTGAGACTTATCCCCATAGCGATCCAACGCCCACTGCCACAGGTCTTGCAAATAATCCTCCAGCGCTGCCGCTGGTATCAACTGCGTTTCTCCAAGATTTGTCTTCAATAACACTGTTGAAAAGAAAGAAGAAAAATCCAGGCGATTTACGCGTGCACAAGCGTGTGCACCTTCTGATTGAATAGCACGATAGTCAATAAAGAGATTGAAAAAACAAAGAACTTAGTCTTCAATGTGCAGAATTAATGAGTAAAATATTTTACGATCCCACTATTTTTCTTTAATTATGGGCAGTGAATTAACCAGTTCTTCTTTATCTGTATCCATACTCAAACTAGTTCATTAAACCATTATGCTATATTAAAAGAAAAAACCCAGCAACATTTGAATTAAACGCCAATGTTCAACACTTTGCAGAGAAAAGGCATCTTTTTTGCGATTGAGGGCGCTGAAACTGCGTAACTTATGGGATATGGCCTTACAAATTAATAAACAAACGAAGTGTCAATTAAAGAGATGTAAGTTTAAAATGATGGCAATCTTTAACAACATGCGTTTTATACTTCAATTCCGTTTGTTTTTAACTCCATAACTGTGTCGTTACAGTGTCTCAATCTTGAAAAAAAACGAGATGGGTCTCGAACCATGTGTCTTGCCTGCTTTCGCGATTATCTGTAAAGAGTTACCTTTGACCTTGGTGTTTGACCAAAGACATTTGTTGCATCTATGACCCAAGTTTGGTTGCAACTGGACTTTAACTTTTGAAATAAGACCAATTTTACATATTCAGGCAATTATAAAACTTGACCTCATATGACCTTTCACCTTGGTATGTGATCTTTGACCTCAGTATCATTATGAAGGTTGTGAAGTTTTGAAATGAGACCAATTTTACGAAACTTTAACCAAAATACCACATACATGTATACTACATACATACATACATGCACACCCAGACACGCACACTGTGTGTTCACCGTCGAGCGTGGACGTCCTATTGTCCCTCTTTTGTTTGTACTTTTTAGAAAGACTCCCATAGGTTTTGTACACGACCCCAATCGCGGAAGTATGCTGGGAATAGTGGACGATATTGTTCTCTTTTGTTCTCTGGTATTTTTCGTCTACGGTTTAAACAGATGAACACGTACCCACCCACCCACACGTTTGTTTATGGTGTAAATCGAGGATTTGCTTTTGTTCCGCTTCCCTTTTCCTTTGTTTGTACTTTTTCGCAACAGCTCTCCGATGATTGGTTTTGCACACGTTTTCCAACTGAGGAGTCCTTGATTCGGTTTCTGACCTCGATTCACCGATGATGTGTGTGTGTCCTCGATTTACACCATAAACAAACGCACCCACCCATACTCACACACGCACACACGTGTGTAAATACCAGCAATCGTGGACGCCCCATTGTCCCTAATCATCTTTCCTTTGTTTGTACTGTTAACTTTTTAGCGACAGCTCTCATTGGTTTTGTACACGATTTGAGATAGTGAACGTTCGGTCAATCGTGGACGTATTGTTTGCGCCCAATTCTGTTGTCCTACGTCCACGATTGCCGGTGTTTACACACGCACACACACACAGACAGACAAAGTGATTGCATAGTCTCTTTCCTGAACAAAGTTCAGGCGAGACAAAAATAAGGCCCTTTTGATTGATAAAGTCTGGGCTAAAACGTCTTCGGTTGATATCGTTGATACTGCTATAGCCTCTTCGATTTCGTTCACTTCCCTGGTACTGGTATTAAAATAAAATTGTTGATTGCACTCTTTTAATCATACGTGTGGTTCGAAAGCAATCCATTTTGTTTGCAGAAGCTTACATTTTAACTGAATTTCAGACAGGAGCAGTTCGTGTCTCCGCACTTCACACTTAGCCTCGGCCCAGCCACACTCTTTGAAGACTTTCTGCGTTTCTTGAACTGATAGGTTCCACATGAACAGTGATGACTTGTAGTCCTGAAAGACAAAAGCCAAGGCAAAACACCTCTGTTACCGTTCTGTCTGTGTCAAAAAGGCCGGCATGTAATTTTTACTCCTCTTTAGTTAACATCATTGATTGAGGCTTTAAATAAGGTCTTTCCACGCATTTTTAACACTAGTCCGGTCAATGTAAGTTAAGACCTAGAACAAATTGCAATAGAAACCATTCAAGCGTCAAACGACTTTAAATAAATACACAAACACCATGTGAAAAATCTCATTCTATGGAATGGAAGGGTGTTTTTAATCATTTTTCTTAAGATTAAAATTTGGGACATTTTGTCCTCAAACAACTCGTCTGGTGACTTACTTCGATTTACATGTCTGTATATGCTAATGCTTAGGATGCATGACCTCATGCGAGTGCAGCAGACGACTGTTTCAAGTCTTCATTTTATACAGGGCACTACACTGCAAAAACTGTGGTGTAAATTCAACAATGGTGGTATCTATATAGGACCAGGGGTGTAAACGTGTTATACCCATGGTCTGATATAGATACTATCAGTGTTTAAGGTTTTTGCAGTTTGAAAGGTGTTCCGCCGCCGCTTTTCAAGAGTGAAATGCACTACTCCAGAAAAGCATACTTGAGTCCAGTGTTGTAGTCGAGACCGGATAGTCCGAGACCGAGACCAAGACCGAGACCTGAAGTTTCGAGACCGAGACCGAGACCGAGACCGAAATGGTCCGAGACCGAGACCGAAACCTTTCTAATCACGAAGATTACAGACAAAATTTGGACCAGTGGCAGTGTTAAAAACTTGATACATGACACCTTACTTGAGCAAAAAGTAGTTACACTTTAGAAATATGGGCTGTGATATGTTGTCTGCACCCAATCTTGACAAAAGTAAAAAGTTAAAGGCAGATGTTTCATCTGTTATAGGAACTCTGATCCTGAACTCCACAGTCACTCCTTGGTTTGAGCTAGGACTTCTAACGGATATTTAAAGATGCAATTTTAATAATTTGACATTGGGCCTCTTTTTTCTAAAATAAATATAGGACTTAACTTCTAGTTCTACCAAGACTTGTGTACTTGATTTTTTTAAAAAGCTAGAAAATGTTGAATATTTTTTTTTATAATTTCCGTAATGGAATATGGACTTGTACATTGTAGACCCAAAATTTGCGAGGTGGTAGCCAGATATGGATTTTAAAGTTTTTTTCTGACCGGGATTTTAATTTTTGAGGAATACTTCAAAATGAGGGACCGAGACTGAGACCAAGACCGAGACCACAGCTCCCGAGACCGAGACCGAGACCACAGCTCCCGAGACCGAGATCGAGACCAGCAAAAAGTGGTCTCGAGACCGGGTCGAGACCAAGACCGGTCTCAAGACCTACAACACTGCTTGGGTCCCGACGAAATGATTCTTTCGGAATGAAACAGACCTCGGTTTGTTATTACTATTCAAAAAGATGATTGGCATGGTCCACCTCTGCCCTCCGACTAAGACTTTGATCGGGAGCTCGTTTATTACTTATAGAAATAATACACTTGTCACGCTGCCTAATTTTTTTTCTCTAAAGCTCAGAATTCAGCTAAAATTTCATTCCAGATTTTAATCCCGTTAATTTGTCTTCATAAAGTTTTTCGAGTATACGTTCATTTTTTTGGACAATTTATATCTTATTTATAAGTTATGCCGATGACCTAAACGCATCACAAAAGGATTACACGAATCTCGGATTTCGGATATTTTCCCTAATAATTTAAAATTAGACTCCGGCCTAGTGCGGTAGACACCTGAAATTTTACTTCAATTGGTTTCCCGCCCTTGTATCAAGTAGACCTGTTTATGTCAAGTTTTTCCATGAAACAAATGGTTTATTGAGCACAAAGTGATATAGTTTAACCAATAAATAATTCAGGCAGTAAAAAAAATCTCAAATTTCCTGATTTTTTTTTCCAAGAAAATATCCTATAGTATTGTGCGGAAGAGCAAATTACCATATATTTTAATAATTGGTTGACATAAAAAAGTCGTTTGCTGTGATCAGTCGTGTCTCGCGACATGAAACAAATGGTATATTGAGCACAAAGTGATATAGTTTAACCAATAAATAATTCAGGCAGTAAAAAAAATCTCAAATTTCCTGATTTTTTTTTCCAAGAAAATATCCTATAGTATTGTGCGGAAGAGCAAATTAACATATATTTTAATAATTGGTTGACATAAAAAAGTCGTATGCTGTGATCAGTCGTGTCTCGCGAAGTCTCATACGTGATGTGAACGGATATTCTGACCAGTAACGGACGCAAAAGAAAACATGACGCTCTCCATACGACTGTTTACGTATGATGAAAAAGTAGTAGAGAAAAAGTGAACAAAAGCACTTCTTCACTCCATGATGAAATTCTTTAGCGTCCTATAGCATTAAAATACATTTAATTGCAATTTCTTCTAGGTCAGCTCCTGTTTTATTCTAAATTAAACGGACTATATAACTGTCAGCTTGTTAATTGACTGTAAACTTACACGTTGGGTAATTGCGCCCCCATGAGTCACGTTGGGCTACCACTAACATTTCGTTAGTACCCCCCGCCCTGCATACAGAACGCTGGGTTACGCTGATCGATGAGCTTCACAGAATCTTGCGAATGAAGTGACACATGACCTATGTATAAAGCATATGGCTGCAGATGTTCAAGTCCGCAGTTAGACAATGTGCGCAAATGCTATCGGAAAACTTCTCATAGAAATGCGCGCATTCCATACCGGATGTGATTTACTGTTTCATAGCGGATCATGTGGACAAAATTATGAGCGTCGTATAATGCAACCTGACCGTTTGCGATTCGAAACGGAGCCTGACGGGAATTGTAAATTTACTACACAGATAAGTTTTACAGAATTTCTTACGTTATTACGCTTTTCAACACAAAAAAAAACATCTCTTAACTGGAATAAAAGAGTAGTGACTCGGTCTTAAACGAACGTTTAAAACCTTGCAGAGTCATGACCGTGATGACGCGCAGCACACAGGTCACGCAAAACCAACCAATCAGAGCGTGAATTCATCAGAGTATCCCAGCGTCTGAGGTTTGTAGGGCGGTGGTACAGGCGAACACTAACATCTGATTTTCAATTTTTCTCACGGCGGTGTGAAACACGCAGTGGGCTTGAGCTGCTTATTGGTGGGTGGGTGGGTGAGGGTGGTGGGTTGGTTTGTTGCAAGGGCGGATACGGGGGGGGGAGAGGGCCATGCCCCTCGCCCCCAAACAAACCCCTGTTCTTGTTTTTTTTTTAAGTGACGTCACAATAAAGGTAGGCAATGAGTACACCACCTTCTTTTCCTTAAAAAAAATGGTTAAAGTGGTCAGAAATTGCCTCATATTGCACCACAGACAATCTAGAATCCAAAAGAAATTCGGGGCCCTTAAGCTGACCCCGAATCCCACGCCGTCATTTTTGGACCCACTTTTTGGGGGACCAAAATTTTGTTTGGCCCCCTCCAAAATTGTGTTCTGGATCCGCCCTTGGTTTGTTGGTTAATGGACACTTTACTCTGCCATGTGCAATTTGAGTATTAAAGCTTTGCATTCGAAGACCGGTTGTGGAAACACTGATGCGACTGCATCTCATTTGCATATTTTTGCATATTAGATCACGCCCAACTTGTTTTCGTTTTCTGTACTCTTCGAGTGCGCGGATGGTGCCGTAAGCCGTCTTCATGACCCGACCGCCGTGCCGTTCTACCACTTGGTACTTGATTCTATGCTGTTGGACCCCTACGTTAAGACGAAATCAGCAACGCTGTATAGTTAACAATTTTTATCGGTCTAATATTCGACCCGGATTATGAATGCCTCTCGATCTATACGCAAACCAAACAACAAAACTAATCCCCAAAAAGTTTGATCCAAATGAATTCGGAAGGATAACTGTTTAATTATACATGTACCTGGACAAAAGCACCCCACTTCTCGTGACTTTTCAAGAAGGAAGTCACTTGGTTTAAAATGAAGAGGTCATCGTGGTTGTCGATGATCAAAAGTGCCTGCCCGCCCGGCTTCAGACACGCCGAGATGCTACGGAGCGCTTGGGTCTGCTCGGGAAACCAGTGAAGAACGAAAAAACAGACAGCTTTGTCGAATCCCTCTCGCCAGTCTTGGTTGTCTCCCACGGCTCGGGCGTCCCATTGACTGTATGTTACGTTTGGTGCAGAGTTGGTCTTAACGGCCACCGCTACCATTTCCTCTGAAGCGTCAACGCCTAAAGGGAAGGGGAACAGAGTTAAGGCACTCTGATTGATATGATGGTATGTTAGCGGTATTTTTTGCGTAATTTCAAACTGCTGTTGAACGTGCGAGCTCCTGTGGAATGATAGTTTTTGAGCGTAGTTAAGCTGGAGGATAGAATAGTGACACAGGACACGCCGTATTTAAAAACTACAATTAAATTTCTCCCTCTAAATTTCACGTAATTTCCAATCTGATTTGATAATATAACAGAATGGTTCTCTATCTAAAAGAAAATTTACATAATATTGATAGTTGACAAATAAAATAGATATTTCGGACCAAATTCCATGCGTCGTCGACAGCTCATTAAGTATTCAAAACGAGGTCACGCACCGGAATGCCATGCATACAGCGCACGTAAAATGAGCAGCTTTTCAGTGCGCTGCGGACTGACTGGGATAGGTCGCCGTTCGCACGCATGATCGAATGAAAATTAAGTTTTCACGAAGTGACCTATCTTGATAGGTCGCCGTTCGTGCGCATGAAATATGAAAACGAAATGTTCACGAAGTGACATGGATTTGGCGCCTATTTTTCACCTGGCAGTGATGAGTTTTTGCCTTAGAAACAATTTAAAATCATAATTCAACTATCCAACTTTATTTTATATAAAAACTGAGTCAACAAAAATTAGTGTTCTGGGTGAAAGAGTGGATGCAAAATAGGCCCAACTTCAATTGCGTTTTTCTCGAAATGGCAAAAACTGAGATAGGTCAGATCGTGGAACGATCAACGATACATATTAATGTATTGACGTCAATGATCCCATAATTAATTTGTGGTTATTGCTTCTCTGCTGGGAAGTCATTGTATGTGATTTGAGCAAACTGATTGGATATTTTCAGTCTTAAGTCGTACTAAATAAAAATTATAGACTATAGTTTATTTTATAGATATGTGATTTAAGCAAACTGACTGGATATTATCAGTCTTAAGCAAGACATTTCTCAAAGGCAAATCTTTTTAGCATAATCCTTTGAGCATTCACAAGGCCTACATGGAAATAAGAATTTTTAAATAATCAAAAGAAAATCTGGTTATTTGAGTAAGCTTGAGTTATCATTGTAACATCATTTCTTTGGTTTTTAATAATGAGAACAGATGGCCTATGGGGTCCGAAAGTGACTCAAAATCTTAAGAACAACTCACAGAGCTGCATAAACATGTACATGTACATGTACTACGGTGCAAGTCTCAAGTTTTAGTAATACATGTACACGTACATGTATTTGTTTTTTGTTGTTTCAATTAAAAATATGACTGTCAAAGAAAAAAAGGTGGAGAAGCCACATTGATTATACAAAAAATCATGTATAAACAGTGTACAGGCCCCCGAATATTTTAGTGAGTGGTTACATTTGCACATGTATACTGGTTTGGTAAAAAAAAAAAAAAATCAATCAATCAATAAAATCCTATTGTTTTAATCCTAATGACCTAATTGGCCTTTGTCTTATGGGGTCCAAACTTATAAGTTATACTAGCAAGCTACATATACTGGTTTATTAAAAAAAATAAAAAAAAAAATTAAAAATAAAAACGTTGTTCTTTTCTCATGAATAAACATAATTTTCCCTTAAACTACTGAATAATTGTGATCCATTGACGATCACTGCTGAAGAAAAAAATGTGGAAACCGCGACGTTTACAAATAAAAGACTCTTTCAACAATATTATAGTCAGCAAGTGTACTAAGCATCTGTAATGCTGTGTGGTGTACAACAAAATGTACATGTACATGAACTATACATGTACACGTATACACGTACATTATACTGTGGAAGAACAGCCACACCGAAAACATACAGTGTATGTACAGGACATCTATCTTTTTGCCCCAACATATGGAATGGGGAAGGGGGGGGGGGGGACACTGCGTATGCCATACGTACGGGAAGGGGGTGTCTAAAAAGTCGGCATTTCGTGCATATCATAGGAGGCTTTATGGGCTATATAGCTGCTCGCATAGTTTCTCGAGCGCACGTAAAATGAGCAGCTTTTCAGTGCGCTGCGGACTGACTGGGATAGGTCGCCGTTCGCACGCAAGATCGAATGAAAATTAAATTTTCACGAAGTGACCTATCTTGATAGGTCGCCGTTCGTGCGCATGAAATATGAAAACGAAATGTTCACGAAGTGACATGGATTTGGCGCCTATTTTCCACCTGGTAGTGATGAGTTTTTGCCTTAGAAGCAATTTAAAATCATAATTCAACTATCCAACTTTATTTTATATAAAAACTGAGTCAACAAAAATTAGTGTTCTGGGTGAAAGAGTGGATGCAAAATAGGCCAAACTTCAATTGCGTTTTTCTCGAAATGGCAAAAACTGAGATAGGTCAGATCGTGGAACGATCAACGATACATATTAATGTATTGACGTCAATGATCCCATAATTAATTTGTGGTTATTGCTTCTCTGCTGGGAAGTCATTGTATGTGATTTGAGCAAACTGACTGGATATTTTCAGTCTTAAGTCGTACTAAATAAAAATTATAGACTATAGTTTATTTTATAGATATGTGATTTAAGCAAACTGACTGGATATTATCAGTCTTAAGCAAGACATTTCTCAAAGGCAAATCTTTTTAGCATAATCCTTTGAGCATTCACAAGGCCTACATGGAAATAAGAATTTTTAAATAATCAAAAGAAAATATGGTTATTTGAGTAAGCTTGAGTTATCATTGTAACATCATTTCTTTGGTTTTTAATAATGAGAACAGATGGCCTATGGGGTCCGAAAGTGACTCAAAATCTTAAGAACAACTCACAGAGCTGCATAAACATGTACATGTACATGTACTACGGTGCAAGTCTCAAGTTTTAGTAATACATGTACACGTACATGTATTTGTTTTTTGTTGTTTCAATTAAAAATATGACTGTCAAAGAAAAAAGGGTGGAGAAGCCACATTGATTATACAAAAAAACATGTATAAACAGTGCACAGGCCCCCGAATATTTTAGTGAGTGGTTACATTTGCACATGTATACTGGTTTGGTAAAAAAAAAAAAAATCAATCAATCAATAAAATCCTATTGTTTTAATCCTAATGACCTAATTGGCCTTTGTCTTATGGGGTCCAAACTTATAAGTTATACTAGCAAGCTACATATACTGGTTTATTAAAAAAAAAAAAAAATAAAATAAAAAAAAAAAAAGTTGTTCTTTTCTCATGAATAAACATAATTTTCCCTTAAACTACTGAATAATTGTGATCCATTGACGATCACTGCTGAAGAAAAAAATGTGGAAACCGCGACGTTTACAAATAAAAGACTCTTTCAACAATATTATAGTCAGCAAGTGTACTAAGCATTTGTAATGCTGTGTGGTGTACAACAAAATGTACATGTACATGAACTATACATGTACACGTATACACGTACATTATACTGTGCAAGAACAGCCACACCGAAAACATACAGTGTATGTACCGGACATCTATCTTTTTGCCCCAACATATGGAATGGGGAAGGGGGGGGGGGGGGGGGGGCACTGCGTATGCCATACGTACGGGAAGGGGGTGTCTAAAAAGTCGGCATTTCGTGCATATCATAGGAGGCTTTATGGGCTATATAGCTGCTCGCATAGTTTCTCGAGCGCACGTAAAATGAGCAGCTTTTCAGTGCGCTGCGGACTGACTGGGATAGGTCGCCGTTCGCACGCAAGATCGAATGAAAATTAAATTTTCACGAAGTGACCTATCTTGATAGGTCGCCGTTCGTGCGCATGAAATATGAAAACGAAATGTTCACGAAGTGACATGGATTTGGCGCCTATTTTCCACCTGGTAGTGATGAGTTTTTGCCTTAGAAGCAATTTAAAATCATAATTCAACTATCCAACTTTATTTTATATAAAAAATGAGTCAACAAAAATTAGTGTTCTGGGTGAAAGAGTGGATGCAAAATAGGCCCAACTTCAATTGCGTTTTTCTCGAAATGGCAAAAACTGAGATAGGTCAGATCGTGGAACGATCAACGATACATATTAATGTATTGACGTCAATGATCCCATAATTAATTTGTGGTTATTGCTTCTCTGCTGGGAAGTCATTGTATGTGATTTGAGCAAACTGACTGGATATTTTCAGTCTTAAGTCGTACTAAATAAAATTATAGACTATAGTTTATTTTATAGATATGTGATTTAAGCAAACTGACTGGATAGTATCAGTCTTAAGCAAGACATTTCTCAAAGGCAAATCTTTTTAGCATAATCCTTTGAGCATTCACAAGGCCTACATGGAAATAAGAATTTTTAAATAATCAAAAGAAAATCTGGTTATTTGAGTAAGCTTGAGTTATCATTGTAACATCATTTCTTTGGTTTTTAATAATGAGAACAGATGGCCTATGGGGTCCGAAAGTGACTCAAAATCTTAAGAACAACTCACAGAGCTGCATAAACATGTACATGTACATGTACTACGGTGCAAGTCTCAAGTTTTAGTAATACATGTACACGTACATGTATTTGTTTTTTGTTGTTTCAATTAAAAATATGACTGTCAAAGAAAAAAGGGTGGAGAAGCCACATTGATTATACAAAAAACATGTATAAACAGTGCACAGGCCCCCGAATATTTTAGTGAGTGGTTACATTTGCACATGTATACTGGTTTGGTAAAAAAAAAAAAATCAATCAATCAATAAAATCCTATTGTTTTAATCCTAATGACCTAATTGGCCTTTGTCTTATGGGGTCCAAACTTATAAGTTATACTAGCAAGCTACATATACTGGTTTATTAAAAAAAAAATAAAATAAAATAAAAAAAAAAAAAGTTGTTCTTTTCTCATGAATAAACATAATTTTCCCTTAAACTACTGAATAATTGTGATCCATTGACGATCACTGCTGAAGAAAAAAATGTGGAAACCGCGACGTTTACAAATAAAAGACTCTTTCAACAATATTATAGTCAGCAAGTGTACTAAGCATTTGTAATGCTGTGTGGTGTACAACAAAATGTACATGTACATGAACTATACATGTACACGTATACACGTACATTATACTGTGCAAGAACAGCCACACCGAAAACATACAGTGTATGTACCGGACATCTATCTTTTTGCCCCAACATATGGAATGGGGAAGGGGGGGGGGCACTGCGTATGCCATACGTACGGGAAGGGGGTGTCTAAAAAGTCGGCATTTCGTGCATATCATAGGAGGCTTTATGGGCTATATAGCTGCTCGCATAGTTTCTCGAGCGCACGTAAAATGAGCAGCTTTTCAGTGCGCTGCGGACTGACTGGGATAGGTCGCCGTTCGCACGCAAGATCGAATGAAAATTAAATTTTCACGAAGTGACCTATCTTGATAGGTCGCCGTTCGTGCGCATGAAATATGAAAACGAAATGTTCACGAAGTGACATGGATTTGGCGCCTATTTTCCACCTGGTAGTGATGAGTTTTTGCCTTAGAAGCAATTTAAAATCATAATTCAACTATCCAACTTTATTTTATATAAAAAATGAGTCAACAAAAATTAGTGTTCTGGGTGAAAGAGTGGATGCAAAATAGGCCCAACTTCAATTGCGTTTTTCTCGAAATGGCAAAAACTGAGATAGGTCAGATCGTGGAACGATCAACGATACATATTAATGTATTGACGTCAATGATCCCATAATTAATTTGTGGTTATTGCTTCTCTGCTGGGAAGTCATTGTATGTGATTTGAGCAAACTGACTGGATATTTTCAGTCTTAAGTCGTACTAAATAAAAATTATAGACTATAGTTTATTTTATAGATATGTGATTTAAGCAAACTGACTGGATAGTATCAGTCTTAAGCAAGACATTTCTCAAAGGCAAATCTTTTTAGCATAATCCTTTGAGCATTCACAAGGCCTACATGGAAATAAGAATTTTTAAATAATCAAAAGAAAATCTGGTTATTTGAGTAAGCTTGAGTTATCATTGTAACATCATTTCTTTGGTTTTTAATAATGAGAACAGATGGCCACACCGAAAACATACAGTGTATGTACCGGACATCTATCTTTTTGCCCCAACATATGGAATGGGGGGGGGGGGGGACACTGCGTAAGCCATACGTACGGGAAGGGGGTGTCTAAAAAGTCGGCATTTCGTGCATATCATAGGAGGCTTTATGGGCTATATAGCTGCTCGCATAGTTTCTCGAGAAAACAAACAAACACAAAATTCCACCTACGAAAAATAGGTGCGTCAACACCTCATCCATGGAGCAGCTGGCGATGCAGAAGCCGAGGATTGGAACCTGTTACACTCTTGACTTTCCCTGCCATTGACTACGCAGTGGCGGATTTGCCCCCCCCCCCCCCCCCCCCCCCCCCCCGTCCAGCCTGAGACAAATGTTGTGTAGAATGGGGAAAACATTTATTTTCAAATTGCCTTAGTTAGAATGCAGGAAAATTATGTTCTTAGTAAGGTGAACGCAGGATCTGTGGGTTACCGGCAACTGTTGTAAATGACCCACTGGGTTTGCTTTTGTAACTGTGCGCTAAATAAAAACTGAAGCTCGAATTACTAACATGTTTTTTTTGTTGCAGTAGAAACCACTTTTTGCAAATACGTCAATGCTATGACATCCAGACCTCGCGCGCCCACGCAGTTAACATGAGACAGCAAAATTAAGGTACGGGATTTCAGTCTCTCTGTGAGACAACTACTAGGTTAAGTTGTAAGTGTGGTAAGAATTTTCCAATCTGTCCGTGTGTCAAGGATTGTATTGTGGTCGTATACTTTCACAGCAATCCAGTGCTTGGATTTGTATGATGAGACAACATGTCAGCCGGTATGAAGATCTACTGACCACGGTGAAGAAAAGGAAACTGAGGTGGTACGGACATGTAACGAGAGCAAGCGGATTGTCAAAGACCATCCTCCAAGGTACAGTGCAGGGAAGGAGGAGACGGGGCAGACAGAGGAAAAAGTGGATAGACAACATCGCCGAATGGACCAGTGAAAGTTGTGCCACAACACAGGCCCTTGCTCACGACCGTCAGATGTGGAACCAGTTAAACCAACGCTCATCCATGCAGCGCCCCTAAGACCCCGGTGGGTTACGGGACCAGTAAGCATTAAGCAGTAAGGCAAACTTGAAGTTACAGCCTAGACCAAGTATGGAGTTTTTCAAGTCTCTTGGAAGAAATACCGTCTGCGCTTTTTTTTTTTTTGGTACATAAATTGCGGAGTGTTAACTTCAAGAATTAACTTCGTGTACAGCGACAATGACAATTCGAATGATATTTGGGTCTGTTGGATTAATCACATGGAAAATAACATATAATCAGCAAGTTTTTCTGAGCCTCAAACGTATCCCGTACCTGCACCATTTTAAATGATCCCTATTGTTCGGTATACATTGTACATGTTCTTACGTGAACTTAAGAGTTTAATCACATTTGGAATCAGTCGCAAGTTTATCACCCAGCCATCCAAGTTCAGGTCGAGTGAAAGCTTTTCGAAGAAACCGTGACGAAGCCGCTCTTGTGTCAACGTTCACCGCTTTTATTTGTGATCTGACTTGTTATCAGGGTGACCGTAAGGTCATGACTAAATTGTGCTAAATGCACTTCAAAAATCTGTCAGATTTGTCAAAAATCTGCCAAATTCCACCGAATTACTCGAAATACACTTAAAATACCTTGAATCACATGCAGATGTTGTAATATTGCCTTAATGAATTAAAAGTTCAAATTTATAAACAATTTATAGCCACATAAAGATAATATGAAATTGCGTAAATTTCAGGCACAACGCAGTTGCGTCAGTGAACCTCAACACCCAGACCAGGCAACCTGCCCTATTTTGCAGGGGTTTGTTTGAAAAAAAAGATTGAAGCTTTTGCAACCAAATGTACAATTTTTTTAGGAAAATTTGCTGTTTTTCTGTCAAGTTATTCTGCCAGGAATCTGCCCAAAAAATCCATTTTGTCAAATTGTCTGTCAAACTCGTTTTTTTTTTTTTTAAACTGTCAAAGTTAGCCGAAAATTGGCTAAAACGGTCACTCTGCTTGTTATTTTATTTGATAACATATATTTGAGATAATTTGCCATTCCCAGCATGTTAAATTCCCAGCAAGGTTAACTCTTAAAGAGTTAACCTTTGACCGTTTTTGAATCGTGCGCTGAATATTCGACGACAAAATCTGTGGACTTACTGCCAATTATCGTTATATGCTACAAAAACACCCTGATAGACCAAATTGTTGTGTACTGGTTGACCCAAATTCATTGTTCCAAATTATCCTGGTTCAGCTTCTATGCATGAACGTTTCCTAATTCCTATCTTCAAAATCTACATGACAACGAAAGTGATTATTTATTAATCCATAAGCTGCGGTAAAGAATTCTAAAGAACGATAGCTGGACAATTAACAATAATTGGGTCATTTAACAATGGGCTATTTCTGTCGGTGAAAATCTGTCACAGATTGAGAGCGACTTATAGCGATCCGATAACAAATATATATCGTGTGCTTCTTTTAATCTGTCAAAGACACTGAACACAATGTTCTGTTTTTCCCACGCAGACGTGTTTTTTTTCTTTCACGGGAAAGAGATTTGGCTTAAGCATTGTCATAAGTAATAGTCTTACAGCTGCCATTTGCTGCAGAATTTGTTTTCCCTTAATTATCGATCACTAAGCTACGCTGTGTAGTAACTATTCGAACGGGCTTGGTTTCGAGACTGGTCTTTCCAGAACTAACACTGCCGCCATGGATGGAGCACGTTATCAGAAGGGCTCCTCTAAAGCAGGACTTGCCTTGAGTATGGCGATCGTGTTCTTCGTTTTTACCAGTTTTAGGCCTATACTGAAGGTATCTGGAGAAACAATATGCACTCGGCAGCCATTGTCACAAACGTTCGTTGCTGCTGAAAATCGAGCACTGACAAATGCCACAATGTGGTCAGGTTCGGTTGGTAGTCGTGTCACTTGTGTCAGCACGTGTCACTCCTTGCCTGCGTGCAAATCGGCCAACTTCTATCAACCCAGCGGAGTATGTGATCTGAATAATGCCACACGGACCGATGTTCCCAATAACTTCGTTGCAGACTACGCGAGCGTGTACTTTGAAGGTATTAATGGAGACACATCTGAGTTGTCTGTTGCAGCTAACAGCGATTGCCAGAGTTTTCTGAAGGCAGGTTACGTGAGCGGTATCTATACGATATTCCCCGACGGGTTCGCTGATGGTCTGAGGGTGTACTGCGACATGGAGACCGACGGTGGAGGCTGGCTTGTCATTCAGAGGCGTCAGGATGGCAGTGTCGACTTCTACCGCGGCTGGGCTGACTACCGCGTGGGCTTTGGGGACTTGGCTGGTGAGTTTTGGCTCGGCAACGACAACTTGCGCACCTTGAGTAATACTCTGGGATCTTGGGATCTTCGAATCGATGTTGAAGACTGGGTCGGCAACACAGCGTGGGCCGAGTACGCAGACTTTCAAATTACAGGACAAGATTACCGTCTGAGATACCATTCATACAATGAGAAAAGCACAGCGGGTGACTCTCTGTTCAAACATAACGGTCAGCTATTTTCAACAAAGGATAAGGACAATGACAACCTGGATTGGTTCAATTGCGCAGAGGATGAGAAAGGTGGTTGGTGGTACAATATTTGTTCCTATGCAAACTTGAACGGTTTCTACTTCAATTCATCCTTGGAAGAACGAAACGACTACCGAGCAATTACGTGGAGTTCCTGGAGGGGTGAAATTTACTCCTTAAAAAGGTGCAGTATGAAGATTCGATTGACAATGTAGGACTATTATCGCCAATGTGAAATAGACTATTGCGACATCGGTCACGGGTCCAAAGTGTGACTTTTTGCCTGTCACTGTTACCTTGGTACTTTGCCATTCAAGTATTTTTAAGTGTGATTTGAAACGAATTTGTATTTGTTGGTTAGGTGGTTTGCTATTCGTAATCACTTGGAGGGCGACTGTACATTAGCTGTGGTACCAGAAACAAGCATGCAGCTTAAAACACAAGCATGCAGGGTGGAGTGAGAAACACAAAGGAGGGCTCAAGGAATGAAGTTTGGTAAAAGGTGAAGCTGAAAGCGAATGTAGGGGGAGAAGATGGGGCACGAAGGAACAAATGAGAGTGATGTGAGTGGGGGGTCAATGGTGGGGGGGGGGGGGATAAGGAAGGGGGTGATGTTAGCGGGAGGGGAACACAATTATGGATTTCGGATGTAATAGAGAAAACGTTCTCATTTGAAAGAATAACCCAGATATTTCATATAACTGCAGGGAGGGGTGAAAGGAGTTTAGTGATGTTATATTGATGTTGTGACTCAAACCTGTAAATGTTTGAAATTAGATACGCCTATAAATGTTTGTGAGGAAGGCTCCGTAAGGCGATCTTGAAAAGGACATATAACAGCCGGTATTACCAAAGTGAACCAATGTGAACTAATTTTTTTGCAATTTTTCGTGGAATTTGTGCTAAGATATATTTTCACGCATTTTTCAAAGAGTAAAAGGCATTTTTCCTTTTCTGAAATTGAAACAAAGATAAAATTGTGTGTTAAAAATGGCACTGTCCTCTCATGCCATCAAATGTCGAGAAATGTCCTCTCTATTTAAGGAACAATTCAGAAATTGGGTTCTGGTGGTGGGGGAAAGAACCTGAAGTAGCAGTATACGATTCGACATGAGGTGGGTATTGCCTGTTCATTCATTGTTATCAACGGAGTGAGTATTACGCATCAACTGATAGTGCTTCAATAAAGGTGGGACGGCTTAAGGACAATGATAATTTGTCCACAAAATGGTGTTTCTCTAGGATATTACCCCAACATTGAAATCTGCAGCGTGAAGGGGGATCTTTCTGTGATGATTATTAACCCAGAATCGAAGTCCATACCATTTGCGTGGATGAGTTTCAATGTACATGTACATGTACATGTAGTATTATCTCGTCAGTCAGAAGGGCTTGAGATAATATTATCTCTTGATGCATTGGGGGTCTCTCTGTGATAATATCCGCACAGTGAAGTCAGTAGGGCTTGGGATAATATTATCTCTTGATGAAGTGCGGTCTCTCTGGGATAATATTATTCCAAGACAAATAAGTTTGTGGTAGCACCATGTGAATAAATCTCTTTTCTGAGTATGTGTGGTTCTGAAAAGAACAGCAGGGCTTGGGATAATATTATCTCCTGATCTAGTGGGGGTCTCTCTGGGATAGTAGTATCCAAGCAAAGCAATGAGCAGGCCTTGGGATAATCTCCTGATGCAGTGGGGTTTCTCTGGGATAATATTATCCCAGCAGTGCAGTCAGTAGGGCTTGGGATAATATTATCTCCTGATGCAGTGGGGTCTCTCTGGGATAGTATTATCCCAGCAGTGAAGTCAGTAGGGCTTGGGATAATATTATCTCCTGATGCAGTGGGGTCTCTCTGGGATAATATTATCCCAGCAGTGCAGTCCGTAGGGCTTGGGATAATATTATCTCCTGATGCAGTGGGGTCTCTCTGGGATAATATTATCCCAGCAGTGTAGTCAGTAGGGCTTGGGATAATATTATCTCCTGATGCAGTGTGGTCACTCTGGGATAATATTATCCCAGCAATGAAGTGAGCAGGGCTTGGGATAATATTATCTCCTGATGTAGAGGGGTTTCTTTAGGATAATATTATCCCAGCAATGAAGTCAGTAGGGTCTCTGGATAATGTTATCCATCGGTGAATTTTGTGATGTTTATAGCTGGGTCTTTTGGGATAATATTATCCCGGCATTGTAGTCTACACTGTTAAGTGGGCTTTCTCTGAGCTATTTTTCTCTGAACTTAACATTTACATCTAAGTAGCGCAGCTCAACTAGAGATATTTGGATAGAACTTTGGATATTATCCAGAATTGTTTGTGTCCTTCCATAACAGTTAGATTCGAACTATCAATGAAATGCAAGCTCACTGCAAAAATTGAACACTTAATACTGAGGTACTTCAAATGATATAAAATCCCGTTATTTTATTTACCCTAAGTAAATAGCCAAATACATGTATGATTGATACATTACTTATTATTAAAACTTTGTTATGAATTATCTTCAAAAATTGAACCTCAATCAGTTTTTATGGAGATTGTTTTGTGCGATGTAATACTAATGATTATTGTTCACTAAACTGTTGCTCTCAAAGGAAAAGCTGTAAAATGTCCCAACAATTTTCATACGTTAGTCTTTTCTTGCATAAGCATAACTATAATTATGGCACACATGTAACCGATCAAAGTGCAACACACGTGACCACAAAACAATTCCAAAAAGCAGAGGGTGTACATGTACATTATTTAACGTTTGTGCATACTGTAAAGAGTAATCTTACTCTCAAGTGAGTATGAGTGCGTGTGTCAGAACTTTGGAGGAAAGAGTGAAAAGTTTCCGGTATAGGCTCAAAAACATTTTCATGTGTAATGTCACAAGTTATAATTTGATGATGACTCCTAATATTTTACATTTTATATGGTAGCATCAGTACATTGAGGTAGGGAGTAACAAGTACTAACCTGGGCCCAATTTCATAGAGCTGCTTAAGCACAAAATTTTATTGAGCACGAAAAAACATTGCTCAGTAAAATCACGTAACCCGCCAAAACTCCATGCGATGTACATTGCTTGTGACCAAGGGCGGATCCAGAACACAATTTTTTGGGGGAAGGGGGGCCAAAAAAAAAATTGGTGCCCCAAAAAATTTGGTCCAAAATATTACGGCGTGGGGTTCGGGGCCCGCTTAAGGGCCCCGAAAATTTGTTGGATTCTAGATGCTCTGTGCGATCTGAGGCAATTTCTGACCACTTTAACCAATGTTTTTTTGAGGAAAAGATGGTGGTGTACTCATTGCATGGCCCCCTTTGGCCCCCCCCCCGGATCCGCCCTTGCTTGTGACTGGTATTTAGCTGTTGTTTACTTAGCATAACAATCGAAGGGAGTTTTGGCCGGTAACCTGATTATATAAAGCAAGATTTTTTTTGTGCTGAAGCAAATTTTGTGCTTAAGCAGCTCTATGAAATTGGCCCCAGATGAATCAGCAGTTAACAAGAAGTAATTAAGCTCTGAAAATCAGAAAAGGCCATTTTTTGTCACAAATTGACAAAAGAATGGCCTTCAATTAAAACACTTCATATGATCATCTATACGGGTATGTATCTCATACGATTAATGTTCATATTATCATATTTTTAGCTGCCACATTTGCGGACTGATGACATTGGTAGGCCTATGTCTACTTCATGCCAAGCATGATTAGTATTACATGTAAATCTATACCATGGATTCACCAATGTATCAAAACTTCCCACTGCAATACAGGTATCTATCTCTTACGATTAATTTTCAGATATTTTTCAGTAGCCACACTTCTGGACTCTGATAAAAATGGGTACGCTTATAGTCATGCTGAACATACTTAGTAGTGAATAATTACGATAGACTGCCCATTAATGCTTATGGTTACAAAGACTGTCTTTCAATGAGGTGCTGCCATTGTCCTCGCTCTGGCTTTCCTCCTCTGCCCTCACCTGCATGAGGGCAGCCACTTTGACCTTCAGCTGCCTCTAAAAACCTCTTGTGGCTGTACGTCAACGACATTTTGTCTGCCGTTTGACTCCCGCCGTGCAGCAAGAGTTGCTTCGCCTGTTAAGAAATTAATGCAAACATTTGGATAATTAAACATTATTTGGAGTTTCAATTCAACCTTTATGTACATCTACTGGAAGAGACACCATGTGCAGCATTATCTTCCAATAATTCAAAGTTAACCAGAAATATGCATACTCTCTTAACAAAATTATGCTCAAATCCATGTTGGTTGGATTATACGAGTTGGTTGGAGAATACGAGTTGGTCGAGCACGAATTAGCAAGGATGAATCTAGTAAAGTATTTCACCAGTGGATAACGAGCTGTCAAAATTGTGCAGAACTTTTACGTGACAGCTTAACTTCCTGTAAATAATGCACTTTTGTTTTATTAAATTGCCATTCACTATCGGACACGACGATTATCTTTCACAATTCTTGTCAGGGTCATTGCTAAAGAGATATGTTTCTGTGTTCGTTTTTCAAGTTGCATTTTCCATCATGGCAATAGAAGTTATATTAGCTCTGGAATGGGTCAACTGTGATTTATGAAACCAGTTTGAGGTCCACTACGTCTTTTCTAAGTAGTTGTCAAAATGAGATAGCAACCAGGAACATGGGTCAATGCCAGCATGTTACTTACCACTCTTTGTCAGATCTACCACCCGATCTTCGTCAGGGATATCTTGAGTAAAGATACGGACAACGATGTGGCCATCAACAAGCATACTCGTCATCAGAATATAAAGTGGCATGGAAACCATCTTTCCTCCAGAAGGCTTTTACCATCGACATCATATCTAAATATATAAATAATAAATAAACAAATAAATAAATAAAGTGAGAGGACATGTATATTCAGAAATACCCCCGGTACTAACTTATGTAATATTTTCTTAGGCATCTACCGCAGTGGCATAGCACGGTCATTTTTATTGGGGAGGGGGGGGGGGGTAAAGTTTTGAAAAGGGCACTGGCACATCCATGGTGACATTGTACACAGATTTGTTTTCCGGACACTTGGCCTCCGTAAAATCAAAAAGCGGAGGGGGGGGGGAGCGAATCTCTTTTCAAGTGTAAAGATGGCCATCTATGATTGAGAGGGGTTTATAGCTTTGTTATAAGGCCAAACAAAATTAATATAAGGTATAGTTTCCAGCATATTCTCGATTTATCATTTTTCGAGGGTGGGCAGGGACATTACCCCCTCCGACCCATTAAATAATTAACAGCAATATGACTTCAAGAGTCCTTTTCTTTCTTCTGTCCCCCTTTTTTCTCCTTTTTTGTTTGCTTTTCCAAGGGGGCAAGCGCCCCCCCCCCCCCCCCAAGCTGGCACCCCCCCCCCCCCTCGCGACGCCCATGCCAGTGAACAACCCATGTTTTCTTGGGAACAGTATGACATATATATTTCCCTTTTATAACCAGACATTTGGAAAGGATAAGTAAACAATCTACAACATGAATTTGTCAGGGATTACAGGCCGGAATGCCCATTTAAACATGTCACAAAAATTATGACGATCGACCCAATCTATTAAGGCATACAGTATGAGCATTGTGTGCTTCATTTCAGGTAAATTGTCTCAGATCCAGACACTGTTATTGCTACTGGATGAAAACAATCTGTACCTGCATGTTGAAGCTGAAGACGTTTGTGATGTGCCGGCACTTTATTGTCATAGGTGTCTGGAGAAAACAGAACCCTGGATCCGCCTGAAATCTCGTATTCTCCAGTCATCCTCCACATTTCTGTTCAAAAGAAATTAGAAAAGTAAAAGAAATGTCTAAAAGTAAAAGATATCAAAGGGTGGTACAATTGTATATTTATTGGGCATTCCTAAAGCCCTATGCCACACGGTGGATCCGGGGGCAGATGATGTCGATTGTTTAACGGCTGCTTGCTGAATTTCGATTTTCAGTTATTTCGAGAAATTTGATAAACCAAGTCGAAACTTTTTAACATGTGACTACATGTATTCTAAATGGCCTCTTATAATCTAATTCTACCTCCATGGTCTTACTATCATTTTTATGGAGGAGTTCCTTAAATCATGCCTGGAGTATGTATGCTAATTGAGGCATACGCATCTCACATATGGCGGTCATAATCGGCAGTGCGCAAATGTTTCGCTTAACACCAAAAACAAAAAGTACATGGTGCATTTTATCGGTCATGCCGGTAGAATTGCCAGGATACAGTAACCAATCCATGCTTTATAATTATAGCTGGAGGTTGGATTTAGTCTAGATAGGAACAAATCTTTTTCTGCATTCATATTTATAGTTATACTTTGTCATGTTTGTCATTAGCTATATGGTATAAAATATCAGACGAGAGCAAGGAATTGTAGAAACTAGAACTTACCATCACTTTCCCCTCGTTTGAAGCTTTCTTGACTGCTTAATAATCTTCTTGTCCATATTCAGGCAACTTCCTCCATGGTTCGAGCTGAAAGCCTGACATGGATTTCAATTCTGGCGCCTCACGCCAGGATTGGTCCGACTGTTTATTGACGGGGTGCTGGAAGGTGTGATGTATGTTACGCAACGCAGATCCGGTGTTGTTTTGTTGGTTGGATGGTTGGAGCATAGTCGCTGTGCCTTGTGTATGGGGTTAGAGATAACGCTAATTGGCTGCATTTTATGGCCCGGGAATTTCGAACTCCTTGGGTCGTTAGAACATTACTTGGTCTTTGCTCTATAACTTATACTATGCAATAATTTATAGATCATGATCATGGACAAGATGGGCATTCTATTTGTAGGCCACCGTCTGGGTGGGTCTGTGTGCGTGTGTGTTTGTTTAAAAAAAAAAAAAAAAAAAAAAAACCGAAAAGAAAGAAAGTTTGTACCAGTAACTGTACGGGTATCGTCTCTTTACGATGCCTCAACTGTTTTTTTTAAGTGTTCAAAATTGCCTCAGATTGCACCACAGAGGTGTGATTCTTATTATGCAAATTCTTGAAATAAAACCTACACAAAGAAAATGGTTTCCTGCCACTTGCTATGGGAAGGCCGCGGGCCGTCATGTACGTGTCGTCATGTTTTTTCTTAAGTATATGTGCTGGGAAATGTTTATTTCAAAGAAAATTGAAAGAGATAAACATCATGTACTTTATTGTGTAGTTGTTAAAGAAAATCGGAAACAGTGGGGCCTTGCGTTTGATTTATAAATTTCGTGCGTTCAAAATATGCGGTGAAGAAAAGCAATTTTCAGCGAAGCCAACCCAAACCAGACCAAACAATTTTCTGGTAAAAAAAAGATAACTTAAACAAAAAAAGGGAAGCTCTTTTTTTTTTTTTTTTTACTTTGCAGCGTGACGGCATGAAACACCATACATTTACTTCCTTAATCCATAGAGCAACTTTCAGAAGAAAAGGATGTCAGAGTTTATAGAGCAGCCTGAAAGCATCACACCTCGATTGTGTGGCAGGTAAACCATGGGTAAACTCAGTGGTGTTTGGCACCAGTGAGTCAACTGGGCACAATCAACCATGAGTGTAACATAAACAGGCAGTCATTATTGGCAATACAACAAATATTTAGAGGAAAAATCAAAAACGAATAATACATGTCGTAAATGGACGCCGGATGCGCCCGCGAACCGATAACTAGTTTGCCCGGCCACTCACGGTCTTATCCGGCAAAAGGGATGGATAACCACGGCCTAAAACTACAGCAGTAATGGTCGCGAACGGCCAAAAAAAAGAGTAAAAAGTAAAAAACAAAAACAAAAAAAAACATATAAACTACAGCAGCATGACAACGATATGGTCCCGAAATTTAGTTTGTTGGCATAGAAATCAAAATTTGTCTCCATGGTCTTGCACGAGAAAACCAAACCCGGTACCTCATGCTCCCTGGCCAGCCAGGGCGAGCGTTGGACACGATTGACCGATCAATTAGCACGTGCGTGAAATACGCTCAAAAATGAACCCCCATACGTGAAGACTTTGTCTAATTTCTAACCAACACTTTCCCTCATATTTTTGTTTTGATTGCACCGAAGATTTCAGAAATTATTTGTTGTCATAAATCCGATATGATTCCAAGGAACTGTTGTGATTTGTTATTTTTTATATCTAATGTCAAATCTATATTATACATGTATTTTCATTAGATGGTAACTCAATGTTCCGAAGCAGGGTCAACATAATAAAGCCTTGACAGTTTGCCCATGATTGTCAGCCAGGCCGAGCGTTGGGCATTGACCGATCGTGCAAGTGAGCTCAACAATGGACCACGTACTTTTGCACTAGGCTGATTATTCGAAGTCATATCTGATATTCTAGCTAAATTAACTTGATCATCGTACGCAGCATGAAAACATTTGATAATTTATCTAAATGAACTTGAAGCTTTAACAAACAGTTAATAATTGTGTTTTTTTTTTAATATGACTAGCAATCATGTACTGATGTGATTCCTGCATGATTAAAGTTCCTTCTAATTTTGTTTCATATGCTTTTGACTCAACCGATGGTAGTAATTGAACTTCAGACGTAACATAAAGTCTTCCTGAAAATTGGCGTTTGGCTTCTTAAATTGGGCAAATACTGGAGCAAGACTATTAGTCTCTCCCGTGGTGATGCACGAGGAAAACCAAGCCTTGCCTGTAATGTATCTGGCGCTGCCAGCCAAGCCGCGAGCCTAGGACACGATTGCCCCGTCAACTACTTCATGGGCAATGTGCTCAACAATGAGCCTCATACATTGCACTTTTGCCAATTATTGACCAACGATTTTCCTCATATTTTCGTTTGGACTTCGCCTAAGTTGTGGAAAATATCAAAATGGACATTATCCGATATCTTAGCTAAATTTATTAAAAGTTAAACAGCTGTAATTTTCAATTTTTTTATTTTTTTTATTTTGACAGTTGGTTGGAAATTTGATGTTTTATTTCCAATGCATATGATTTTAAGACGTCAGGCAAATTTGTCATTAAAAAATTTGTCATGGAAACATGCTTTGCAATCCTGACATTTTTTGTGTTTTGGCTTAGTTTTGAGTCAATACTGGAGCAAAACTTACTCTCCATTCATGTGGTCATGTACGAGAAAAATCAAGCGGTATTACTAGACGCTCTATGCACGAGAAAACCTAGCCCGGTACCAGACGCTCTCTGGCCAGCCAGGCCGAGCGTTGGACATGATTGACCGATCAAGCACTTGCGTGAAATACGCTCAACAATGAACCCCGTACTTTTGCACTTTGATTTCGGCCGGGCGGATCATTTGCCAACACTTTTCCTAACATGTTTGTTTTGATTTCTCTTTAAATCTTGAAAATTTAAATAGTTGTTTGTATGTGATTCCTAGTTAAATGTGCACGTCAATGAGGTTTTAAGAAACAGATGTTGTTTTTGCTTGAAATATTATTGATATTTTGACTAACGCCTTCAGCACTAGAGTGAAACTCACACATTTTTGCGGACCCTAAAATTAAAACGAATGACCGATCAATTGGAAAGAAATTTGGCCTCATATATCCTAGCACTTAACTTTTTCACTTCCGAAAATTCAAACGCTCCCAAACAATGTAAACCTATCTTTATGTTGAAATCTGATACAAATGCAAAAACCTCCGCTAAAGTCTACAAATACTAAAAAGTTTTGACCATAACAACTTAACTAAATGACCAATCAGAACAAAATTTGGCCTCAGCTATCCTAGTATGCACTTTGTTCATTTCCAAAAATTTAAACCCTATCTGAAAAATTTAACCTATTCTAATGCTGAAATTTCATAAAATTTCAAAAACCCTGGCCAAAGTCCATGATTAATTCTAAAACCGCATATTTGACCATTAAAACTGAACCGACTGACCAATCAGAACAAAATTTGGCCTCAGATATCCTAGAATGCACTTTGTTCACTTCCAAAGATTTACAAGCTATCCGGAAATTTGAACCTATTCTAATGATGAAATTTCATAACATTTCAAAAACCCTGGTTAAAGTCCATTAATACGAAAAACTGCATATTTGACCATTAAAACTGAACTGACTGACCAATCAAAACAAAATTTTAACCTATTCTAATGTTGAAATTTCATAAAATTTCAAAAACCCTGGCTAAAGTCCATTAATACTAAAAACTGCCTATTGACCATTAAAACTGAACCGACTGTCCAATTGGAACAAAATTTGGCCTGAGATATCCTAGTATGCACTTCCAAAAATTTAAATGCTATCTGGAAAATTAAACTTATTCTAATACTGAAATTTCATAAAATTTCAAAAAACCCTGGCCAAAGTCCATTAATACTAAAAACTGCATATTTGACCATTAAAACTGAACTGACTGACCAATCGAAACAAAATTTGGACTCGGATATCCTAGTATGGACTTTGTTCACGTCCAAAAATTAAAACGCTATTCAAAAATTTTAACCTATTCTAATGTTGAAATTTCATAAAATTTCAAAAACCCTGGCTAAAGTCCATTAATACTAAAAACTGCATATTGACCATTAAAGCTGAACTGACTGACCAATCGGAACAAAATTTGGACTCAGATATCCTAGTATGCACTTTGTTCACTTCCAAAAATTAATACACTATCTGGAAATTTTAACCTATTCTAATGTTGAAATTTCATATAATGTCAAAAACCCTGGCCAAAGTCCATTAATACTAAAAACCGCATATTTGACCATTAAAACTGAACCGACTGACCAATCGGAACAAAATTTGGACTCAGATATCCTAGTATGCACTTTGTTCACTTCCATAAATTTAAACGCAATCCATAAATTTTAACCTATTCTAATGTTGAAATTTCATGAAATCATAAAAACCCTGGCTAAAGTCCATTAATACTAAAAACTGCATATTGACCATTAAAGCTGAACCGACCGACCAATTGGAACAAAATTTGGCCTGAGATATCCTAGTATGCACTTTGTTCACTTCCAAAAATTTAAACGCAATCCATAAAATTTAACCTATTCTAATGTTGAAATTTCATGAAATCATAATAACCCTGGCTAAAGTCCATTAATACTAAAAACTGCCTATTGACCATTATAACTGAACCGACTGTCCAATTGGAACAAAATTTGGCCTGAGATATCCTAGTATGCACTTTGTTCACTTCCAAAAATTTAAATGCTATCTGGAAAATTAAACTTATTCTAATACTGAAATTTCATAAAATTTCAAAAAACCCTGGCCAAAGTCCATTAATACTAAAAACTGCATATTTGACCATTAAAACTGAACTGACTGACCAATCGAAACAAAATTTGGACTCAGATATCCTAGTATGGACTTTGTTCACGTCCAAAAATTAAAACGCTATTCAAAAATTTTAACCTATTCTAATGTTGAAATTTCATAAAATTTCAAAAACCCTGGCTAAAGTCCATTAATACTAAAAACTGCATATTGACCATTAAAGCTGAACCGACCGACCAATTGGAACAAAATTTGGCCTGAGATATCCTAGTATGCACTTTGTTCACTTCCAAAAATTTAAACGCAATCCATAAAATTTAACCTATTCTAATGTTGAAATTTCATGAAATCATAATAACCCTGGCTAATGTCCATTAATACTAAAAAGTGAATATTTGACCATTAAAACTGAACCGATCGACCAATTGGAACAAAATTTGGCATAAGATATCCTTGTATGCACTTTGTTCACTTCCAAAAATCTAAATGCAATCCATAAATTTAGACCCATTCTTATGTTGAAATTTCATAAAATTTCAAAAACCCTGGCCAAAGTCCATTAATACTAAAAAGTGCATATTTGACCATTAAAGCTGAACCGACTGACCAATCGGGACAAAATTTGGACTCAGATATCTTAGTTTCCACTTTGTTCACTTCCAAAAATTTAAACGCTATTCGAAAATTTTAACCTATTCTAATGTTGAAATTTCATAAAATTTCAAAAACCCTGGCCAAAGTCCATTAATACTAAAAAGTGCATATTTGACCATTTAAGCTGAACCGACTGCCCAATCGGAACAAAATTTGGATTCAGATATCCTTGTTTGCACTTTGTTCACTTCCAAAAATTTAAATGCTTTCTGGAAAATTTAACTTATTCTAATACTGAAATTTCATAAAATTTCAAAAAACCCTGGCCAAAGTCCATTAATACTAAAAACTGCATATTTGACCATTAAAACTGAACTGACGGACCAATTGAAACAAACTTTGGCCTCAGATGTCCTAGTATGCACTTTGTTCACGTCCAAAAATTTAAACGCTTTCTGGAAATTTTAATCTATTCTAATGTTGAAATTTCATGAAATCATAAAAACCCTTGCTAAAGTCCATTAATACTAAAAAGTGAATATTTGACCATTAAAACTCAACTGACGGACCAATTGGAACAAAATTTGGACTCAGATATCCTAGTTTGCACTTTGTTCACTTCCGAAAATTTAAACGTTATTCGAAAATTTTAACCTATTCTAATGTTGAAATTTCATAAAATTATAAAAACCCTGGCCAAAGTCCATTAATACTAAAAAGTGCATATTTGACCATTAAAACTGAACCGACCCACTAATTGGAACAAAATTTGGCCTCAGATGTCCTAGTATGCACTATGTTCACTTCCAAAAATTTAAACGCTATCTGGAAAATTTAACTTATTCTAATACTGAAATTTCATAAAATTTCAAAAACCTTGGCCAAAGTCCATTAATACAAAAAGCCGCATATTTGACCATTGAAACTGAACCGACTGACCAATTGGAACAAAATTTGGCATAAGATATCCTAGTATGCACTTTGTTCACTTCCAAAAATCAAATGCAATCCATAAATTTAGACCTATTCTTATGTTGAAATTTTATAAAATTTCAAAAACCCTGTCCAAAGTCCATACTAAAAAGTGCATATTTGACCATTAAAACTGAACCGACTGTCCAATTGGAACAAAATTTGGCCTGAGATATCCTAGTATGCACTTTGTTCACTTCCAAAAATTTAAATGCTATCTGGAAAATTAAACTTATTCTAATACTGAAATTTCATAAAATTTCAAAAAACCCTGGCCAAAGTCCATTAATACTAAAAACTGCATATTTGACCATTAAAACTGAACTGACTGACCAATCGAAACAAAATTTGGACTCAGATATCCTAGTATGGACTTTGTTCACGTCCAAAAATTAAAACGCTATTCAAAAATTTTAACCTATTCTAATGTTGAAATTTCATAAAATTTCAAAAACCCTGGCTAAAGTCCATTAATACTAAAAACTGCATATTGACCATTAAAGCTGAACCGACTGACCAATCGGAACAAAATTTGGACTCAGATATCCTAGTTTGGACTTTGTTCACTTCCAAAAATTTAAATGCTATCTGGAAATTTTAATCTATTCTAATGTTGAAATTTCATGAAATCATAAAAACCCTTGCTAAAGTCCATTAATACTAAAAAGTGAATATTTGACCATTAAAACTCAACTGACGGACCAATTGGAACAAAATTTGGACTCAGATATCCTAGTTTGGACTTTGTTCACTTCCAAAAATTTAAATGCTATCTGGAAATTTTAATCTATTCTAATGTTGAAATTTCATGAAATCATAAAAACCCTTGCTAAAGTCCATTAATACTAAAAAGTGAATATTTGACCATTAAAACTCAACTGACGGACCAATTGGAACAAAATTTGGCATAAGATATCCTAGTATGCACTTTGTTCACTTCCAAAAATCAAATGCAATCCATAAATTTAGACCTATTCTTATGTTGAAATTTTATAAAATTTCAAAAACCCTGTCCAAAGTCCATACTAAAAAGTGCATATTTGACCATTAAAGCTGAACCGACTGACCAATCGGAACAAAATTTGGACTTAGATATCCTAGTATGCACTTTGTTTACTTCCAAAAATTTAAACGCAATCCATACATTTTTACCTATTCTAATGTTGAAATTTCATAAAATTTCAAAAACCCTGGCCAAAGTCAATTAATACTAAATCCGCATATTTGACCATTAAAGCTGAACCGACTGACCAATAGGAACAAAATTTGGACTCAGATATCCTAGTTTGCACTTTGTTCACTTCCAAAAATTTAAACACTATTCGAAAATTTTAACCTATTCTAATGTTGAAATTTCATAAAATTTCAAAAACCCTGGCTAATGTCCATTTAAAAAGTGCATATTTGACCATTCAAACTGAACCGACTGACATCTCGGAACAAAATTTGGCCTCAGATATCCTAGTATGCACTTTGTTTACTTCCAAAAATTTAAACGCAATCCATAAATTTTTACCTATTCTAATGTTGGAAGTTCATAAAATTTCAAAAATCCTGGCCAAAGTCCATTAATACTAAATCCGCATATTTGACCATTCAAGCTGAACCGACTGACCAATAGGAACAAAATTTGGACTCAGATATCCTAGTATGCACTTTGTTCATTTCCAAAAATTTAAACCCTATCTGGAAAATTTTACCTATTCTAATGCTGAAATTTCATAAAATTTCAAAAATCCTGGCCAAAGTCCATGATTAATTCTAAAACCGCATATTTGACCATTAAAACTGAACCGACTGACCAATCAGAACAAAATTTGGCCTCAGATATCCTAGAATGCACTTTGTTCACTTCCAAAAATTTAAACGCTATCCGGAAATTTTAACCTATTCTAATGTCAAAGTTTGATAAAATTTCAAAACCCTGGCTATAAAGTCCATTAATAGGAAATACATGTACTGCCTATTTGACCTTTAAACTGAACAAATTTGACCAATAGGAAAATTGACCAGAGGTATTTTAACAGTACAAGCATTGCTTACTTACGAACACACTATCCATTTTTGTTTTTACATATTCTTATTAAGAAATATGATACAAATTGTTACCACCTGCCCAGGAAAAATCCCCAAAGGCATACCAAACTCAACCATGGAGCTATCAACTGAATACTATTACTAATTAAGTGATCATTTGACCATAATCAGGGCATTTGTTTGTTTGAGATAATACACTATAACAAAGCCAGAACTTCATAGTTGATTGTGTTTATAGCTCCATGATTGTATTACAACTATAATAACAATTTACTGACAATGTCATTTCGGTTTTTTTTACTTCGCCCAGTGACAAATTATCTACACGTAGCGCGCGGTACATGTATCATGGTGGGCCGGCCATGTCCACACATACAGTGTACATGTACTACGTGAACAGCGGGATGCATGTGGAAGACCATGCACGTATTGCAGTGTGTTCATTGTGTAGCTTCCGTGCGCAAAGCACTGTGCCTGGCCTCTCTGGATTAGCTGCAGACCTTGTAAACATACACCATGGATTCAGCTGTAATTAACACGTTAACAGGTTAATCCGTAAAACAAGCACCCAAAGGCCGGAAGCCAGCTGGCACCTCACATGCATGATCAGAGCACAAGGCAGGCTGGTGCTCAGTTAATGCCCACTTTTTTGTGATGGTAATGCCCTCGAGAAGTCAGGTCGCAACGCCAAGTACTGCTCATAAAAAAAGTTTCGTGGTTTGATCATCGCTCTGCGCACTGCATGCCCCGCACTGTAGACGTGAACTTTTCGGCGAGGGCAGGAGGAAACTACTTCTTCGTATTTCAGGCAAAGAAAAACGGCTCAATAAACATGTATTCGGCACAGATCAAGTATCGACAGGTATGTATTTTCATTTCTCCATTTTTGTGTACGTGTGTGTGTATTTGAGAATAATGTTGAAATTAAAATGACAGTGTCAGTTAGCTAGCTTGAGTAACTCCAGCTGACATGCTCATATTCATTCACATGGCTCCCTTGTTCTCTCCCCCCCCCCCCCCGGGACGCCCATGGGTACGTTGATGAAACAAGTTTCTCGTCCGGGTTTTTGAAAAATAGGAGGACGAGGGGCTTTTTATTTTTTATTTTTTTATTTTTTTCAAGATGGCCACCATTTTAAAATTTCCTGCAACCGTTGGTGTTTTCACTGTTCAAAGACACTTTTAAAATGAAAGACAAGTTGGACAAGAGAACTGAACATATTTACAGCGTCCTTTAGAGTTGTAGATGTTGTGCCCATTCTTGAAAATCACGCATTCTTAAGAATGGGCGCACATTCTTAAGAATGAGCGCGCATTCTTAAGAACGAGCACGCATTCTTAAGAATGAGCGCTCATTCTTAAGATTGGGTGGGAATATCACGTGCACAATTTATGAATTTTGCCCAATCTTAACAAACATTGCACGACATAATTATGTTAAATGAATTGTATAGCGGTTAAAAGGGAAACATTTCATATAAAGAGGAAAGAAAATGTTCCATGCTTCTGTACTCGTATAACTACGATAATTTGAATCATATTAAACCTGTTATTATTGCTTTTTCCTGCCTACTTATGGGAAGTTTTGTAATAACGGAGGACTGGGAACTAGTCTGGGAAGTGCTTTATTTAGGCTAGACAAGTACAAGTCCCTGTATGTATCAAATGCATGCTGAGAACGCATGAGGAATACGTTATACGTCCAGTAAGCAATGTTTTATAATATGATTCTGACAAGGATAATGGGAACATATTATCATTGTAGTGGGACGTTCAACTTCAAGTGATATTTTTTAGGTTAATAGGTACATGTAGTACGAATTAAAAATATTATACGGTTTATAAAAACGCCATACACGCGCGCGCACCACCATGCTCCCATTGGATGACGCAAACACTCAAGTTGCGTTAACTTACGGTCCCCCCCCCCCTCTTTTATTATCCCAAAAATCTTAATTCTTTCTTATTTATTCTTATTTTTTCCCCCGGTCCCCTCCCCCAATACGTGTATACTTTTCATATCCACTCTACTTTTCAGCGCCTTGCGTTGCAACAGTATAATTACATTGTATTAAGAATCAGTGAACGAGGATGCAGCTAGACTGGCCAAGCGCAGCCGGTGCTCGGCATCGACTAGACCGTTATCTTGTCGCGCATTCTTGAGAATGTGCGCTCAATCTGGAAGAGTTATTTTTTGCGAAGATTGAGCAAGGATCCAGTTGCACATTCTTAAGAATGTGCTTGCCCATTCTTAAGAATGCGTGATTTTCAAGAATGGGCACAACATATCCAATAACAGTTTTAGATGCATTTGCTTTAACCGCCAAAAGTCGCGAGCGAATTCTTTAAACACATGCTCCAGCGTGAGCTAGTCTCATACCGGTTGCATTCTGGCTTTGAAGTCAGCATTTACCGCATACAGTACGGCAGACAGATTCCGGTTGAATTTTTAAACGTCTGTAACTGTAGTCTAAAACTATCAATAGACATACATGTACGTAGTCTGGTTCCCTAGACCTGACAATTATTCCTGACGCTCACGTCTCAGCCTCGACTCCATGGGCACGTAGATTCATCAGGAATAGTCAGAATCTTTTGGTCTGGGAACCAAGTGGGTGAGTTGTTGTGAACTCGCCATGCTCGCACTTTCGCAGGGGTAGCGATCACACATCGATATTATGTGGTGTACAAAGTGACGGACAGTCTATACTGAAAACTTCGACTCACATATTTTGCAAGTATTTATTTTCCAATGAATTTGTGGACTTTTTCAGTGTTTTTACTGCATTTTTCAAAAATAAAAAATAAATAAAAAAATCCAGCCGGCCTGCTAAAAGGAAGCGGGCGGGGACGAGAAACTTGTGGTTTTTTTTTACTTTGCCTTACATATTTCTAACTGTTAATTATGAAATTTGATCACACTTTTTATTAACGGTAAATTCAAGAAAGGATGAGTATGTCAATAACAAACCTCAAATTCCCTTTTTCCCCCCAGTGTACAATGTATGTATGTGTAGTACAAATTTAGCATGTTATATTGTACAGGCTCCTGATTTTTTTTAATTCATTTTTATTATGCTTTATCAAGGTATGGACATAATTATTGTATATTTTTCAGGTGACGATGCAACTGACCCTACAAACTTGACTGAGAGGGAAATTGAGGATGACAACACAGACTTCGCCCTTCGTTTCTCAAGTAGAAGTTCAGGTAAGATTTTGTTTTTGCACAGTTATTGACATGTTATACAGGCAGACAGGGCTCTGGAGTGCTCTGAAACGTGCAAAACTAAATCAGGCCCACTTTACTCACTCTTTAGCCAGCAAATTTCTCCAAAAATTCTATTGGGCAAAAGAAAAGGTCCTCAGTATTTCACCAACCAAGTTTGCAGACTCAATTCAATTTTGAAAGGAGACTTTTCCCACATATTTTGCACATGAGAGGGAAGTCGAGTGATTTCAAAATGGGGCTACTGGTACATGTACAACCTTGGTCCAACTATTTGGAAAGATTGACCTCTTCATTCAGTATCATTAGTCTGATGGCTGACTATGCAGAAATGTAAGGTAAATTGAGACTAGTTCCCGGTTCATACCACATGTTTCTTAAATTCTTTTAGCATGGTTGATTGATGCAGCACTGAAGCGGTGTTGGACTGGTTGTTTTAGGTGCCAGTCTATTTTCTTGTTTTGCATGTTTAGTTTTGGGACTCTCATACACAGTTTTGAGAGTCCCAAACTTTCGGACTAGTACTAGTATACAGGGTGACCCCCAATTGATGCAGCCCTTAAACCTTTTTTCCCCACAAAACCCGTGATAGGTGAATTGTTTATGTTTTGGATGTCATGTTAAAGCTGAGGGCGTTCTCTTTACTGAAAAAAAAATCATGGAAAAAAGCACATTGGGTTGCTGAAAAATGTCAATTAAATGTAAAAGATGCAGATTCACAACAAAGGTATTATAGAGAAGTTTCTCATGCCGGCAGTTCTATCATGCAAACCAAGCGTGATGTGAACCTTTGAGGTTTATTGACTTCATTGTGTTCATGTTCCAGGAGAAGGTGCTGGCTATTTTCTCATCGCTGCAGAGGAATCAAGAACATTAGAGCAGATTGACTGGCCGTGCAAGTCAAATCTGATGACAATCTGAATCATGCCCAGGTATGTGAAACCAATATCTACAGTATGGCCCAGTCTTTTACCCAGTCTAAATGTCGAGCTTTTGTCACGCCGACTGAAGTGGGATAATAGCATGACAACTTGACAAGAGTTTGGGACAGATATTGCACACCATTTTAGAACAGTGCCATGCCACTGCCATTCAGAACAGTGAGCGTGGTACGGTAGATCCTCTTGAACCAACGGATGTTTCCAATCTGATTTGCAGAGCAGAATGCTTGTAAACACAATGATGCTGATGTGCCAAATTGTAATAATCAATTATTAAAGCAGGGCACTGCATAGTCCAAAGACTGGGTCTTACACCTTGGTTAAACTGTTAAGTGATGGCAATGGTACTTGGTAGACATTATTTTTAGAAGTTGTGACCTGACACTGACCAGAGGGCAGGCAGCATATTTTTTTAGGATACTAACTACATGTAAGTACATGTACATGTAAGTGTTGACACAGATTCAAGAATTCATTGCAGCAATTGGGAATCTATAAAAGAGCCTTTGGAAAATTCCTGCACTTAAGTTTTACATGATAACCGACACAGGTAATTCAAGTTGGTTGGTTTTGAGAACCTTCTACAAGTATATGTGCAGTGAATTGACAACTGCCATTGACTCAATAACACAACATTTCAAAGTAAATTACAGGATTTGCTTTTGCTGTATATGTATTGTCAGCATAGCCCCATAAATGTGGCCTATTTACTGGACTGCCTCCGTAAACATAGGCCACACATCCACATGTACAAAAACGTGTCGCACTTTGCCAAATTTTGATTTTCACAAAAATTAGACATCTGAAAAAGGCAGCACTTTCTGAAGAGGGTGAGAATACTTCTAAAGCAAAAAAAACCTACAAAGTAAGCCTAAATGTGAAAATCAAAATTTGGCAAAGTGCAACACGTTTTTGTACATGTGGATGCGTGGCCTATGTTAACGGAGGCAGTCCAGTAAATAGGCCACATTTATGGGGCTATGTCAGCAATACAGCTTGAATCTGGGGTTTATAATAATACTGTTACACTAACCTGTCTAATTTTTGTGATCACTGGATCAGGTGAGTAACACCGTTATTCACTTTCAGGCAAGTGACCTGTTTATTATTTCGTGATAATTTGGTAGTTTTGTTTTTGGATGTCTGTACAAGTTGTACACTGGAGGAGCATTTCCCACCCACCAACTAGGCATCCCAAAGCTGTGAGGTGGTAAAAAAAACCAGAGAATTTTTAGGGTTACACTGACTTGGACAAACACCATGTTGTGAAATACACTTCATTGTTTGCTCTTACTGTATATTACTATTTTTTACTTGAATCAACAGGTTCACTTCGGGACAAACGGGCCAATAAGAAACAAGTGGAACTGAAAATAGGTAAACTGGTTGTAACACATCTAATAACATATGCAACACATATTTTGACACCATGGAGGTCAAATTATTTGTATGTTGTCATTGTATACTTTTTTAAAGTTGAATTTCTTTTAAATTGGTTATAGGTCATGGTTGCTTACTTAATGTAAACATATAACTCAAATGTTGGATGATATTAATTATGATGACTTCCTCAGAGATATGCAACACATATTTTGACACCATGGAGGTCAAATTATTTGTATGTTGTCATTGTATACTTTTTTAAAGTTGAATTTCTTTTAAATTGGTTATAGGTCATGGTTGCTTACTTAATGTAAACATATAACTCAAATGTTGGATGATATTAATTATGATGACTTCCTCAGAGATGTGATTTTCTTTCATGAGATCAGATTACACCATGATGACATATTTTGTCTTTTCAAATGTCATTGATATCAATAAGGGAATAAAGGGAATAAATGTGAGGTTTAAACACTCTGTTTAACACCGGATTTGAAATCTATGTTTGTAAATAAGTAAAATTCATTCAGCCCAGCAGTTTTGGCATAAAGTAAAGTCAAATTACCTTTTTTACGCTGTGACGCTATACTGATCAATTGTGCCAACAAAATACAATTCCTTGCTGCCCACTGACAAAGTTGGTGGATGACAAGTTGCATGATGACAAGTGCATCGTTTTTATCTGGAGAATAGACCATAGCCCTAACAGTTTCTGAATCCTCCAATTTCAATATGAAATGGCACACCCCCTAGGGAGTTACATGTAGGTTAAGCATAATCGACGTCGCATTTTGTTAACATGTGCCCTTTCCTATGGAAGCTTGGTGACTAGCTCGTGTCCCCACCTACCTCTCGTAGGAAATCACACGTGTAAACAAAGCATGATGTCATGAGGTGTTTGGTCTGTAGGGTTGAAACTTGCTTGCTAAGCAGGTACATGTGTATTACACGAATGTTATAGGTAACATATATGGTGAATTCATAATGGCGTCTTGACATTTGTGACAGTATTTGAAGTTTTTGAATATTTAAGCCATATTTTGTAAGCAAAGCATGACAAATGTTATTTCTGTGGTAGTATTATTAGGGCATAAGTTTGTACCGTCATGATGATGTCACAAAACGTTGATACGTCTAACGTGCTCGGTCCGGTAGTTGGATTATGTTACGTGCATGCAAGTCTGAAGTGATGTAGTAATGTTGTCATGAATTTTGTTTAGAAATTGCAACTTAAAATATTTGGTATTAAATGGCCATTGTTTAAGTCCTACATCAACCAGTATATAATCTAGAGAACAACCACTTTTGCAATGGAAAGTACATGTACATGAAATTGAACATGAGAATGACTTGTTAAATTTCATAATGCAAAAACCTTTACATCTTTTTGTCGCAATATTAATTTTATGACCAAGACAGAAATAAACTACTTGGTCTTCAGGCAAACTTGTTAAGATAAAAAAAAACCTTGAAATTTACCAGGTTTTCTCAAACAAAAAATGCCCTTTTTACATATATTTTTAAATGTCATGTACAAAATGAGAGACCGTAACACAAATGTCAATATTCAACCTTTGTCAGATTTTTTTATGCTATTGTATAATTTTGATATTTTTATAGGGAAATAAAATACTGAGCTGTTCTTATACAGTGACATCTGAATTGTTTTGTATCCATCTGTGCACTGCTACATATACTTAAACATCTTTAACCCAATGATAATTATATTCTTGTTAACATGTAGGATTTTACAGCTTTTCTAAATACCTAGATGCCCCAAACACGTTAAAAGCTGATGCCATGCAGCCGTAGTAATGTGTGTCTGACCGACCATGCGCTTAAATGTGTACATGTAGGCATGTACATATGCACTTGACTGAAATGGAAACCAGTGAAATTTGGTGAGGATAATCCCAACGTTTTTTTGATAATAGGAGGTCAGATATGAATAACTGCTAAATACTGCATTTACAAAAAAATGATGCCATTAGACTGATACAAATGCCAATTTGTGTCATGATCCCTTCTTTATTTGAATAATTGAATTGTATGAAGTTTAATCTCGAATTGAATCATGAGGCTTATCTGTGAAAGAACTCACAAGGTGTAAGTGGTTTACTGTAAGTGTCAACTTGATGATATAACTATGGACCGACAGACCATACTTCCTGGAGAGATAACATCCCAAGCAGTACTAACTGTACTGAAAAAAAAACCCACTGCATCGAGAGATAATATTATCCTAAGCCCTACGGACTTCATTGCTGGGATAATATTATCCCAGAGAAACCCCACTGCATCACGAGATAATATTATCCCAAGCCCTGCTGACTTCATTGCTGTGATAATATTATCCCAAGCCCTACTGACTTCACTGCTGGGATAATATTATCCAAGAGAGACCCCACTGCATCAAGAGATAATATTATCCCAAGCCCTGCTCACTTCATTGGTGGGATAATATTATCCCAGAGAAACCCCACTGCATCACGAGATAATATTATCCCAAGCCCTGCTGACTTCACTGCTGGGATAATATTATCCCAGAGAGACCCCACTGCATCAGGAGATAATATTATCCCAAGCCCTACGGACTTCCATGCTGGGATAATATTATCCCAGAGGAACAACACTGCATCACGAAATAATATTATCCCAAGCCCTGCTGACTTTATTGCTGGGATATTATCCAAGAGGAATACCACTGCATCACGAGATAATATTACCCCAAGCCCTGCTCATGAGTTCATTGCTGGGATAATATTATCCAAGAGAAACCCCACTTCCTCAAGAGATAATATTATCCCAAGCCCTACTGACTTCACTACGCGGATAATATTATCCCAGAGAGACCCCACTGTATCAAGAGATAATATTATCCCAAGCCCTGCTCACCTCATTGCTGGGATAATATTATCCCAGAGAGACCCCGCTTCATAAAGAGATAATATTATCCCAATCACTACTGACTTCACTGCTGGGATAATATTATCCCAGAGAGAACCCACTGCATGAAAAGATAATATTATCCCAAGCCCTACTGACTCCATTGCTGGGATAATATTATCTCAGAGAGACCCCACTTCAGCAAGAGAGAAAATTATCCTAAGTCCTAAGCCCTACCGACTTCACTGTGCGGATAATATTATCCTAGAGAGACACTACTTCACAGATATATATTATTATCCCAAGTCGTACTGACTTGAAGCACTACCAGTTGATGCGTAATACTCACTCCATTGATAACAATGAATGGACAGGCAATACCCATCTCATGTCGGATCGTCTACTGCTACTTCAGGTTTCTTCCCCCCACCAGAACTCCGTTTCTGAATTGTTCCTTAAATGGAGAGGACATTTCTCGACATTTGATGACATAAGGTGAGGAGAGGACATTTCTCGACAATTGATGACATATGAGGACAGTGCCATTTTTAACACAAAGTTTCATATCCGTTTCAATGTCAGAGAAGTAAAAATGACTGTCACTATTTTAAAAAAGCACGGAAAAATTATCTAAGAACAAATTACACGATTAAATGCAAAAAACAGAGTTCACATTGGTTCACTTTGGTAATACTTGCTGTTATATGTTCTCTCCCAAAAATGTAGCATAATACCTGACCCACAGGGTTATAACTCTATGTTCTGACACCCGTATGTTCCGACACCCCTATGTTCTGACTGTACATATTCCTATTCCTAACCCTATAAACCTATCCCTAACTCTGACCCTAACCATAACCCTAACCGGGAGTAACGCAATAGTACGTCAGGGTTGTCGGAACATGGGGTGTCAGAACATTCAACAGTCACCCTACTGCGTTAGTTATGGAGAAATTCGTCACCGTGTTCACGAAGAGGCACACGTCAAAATTATGTATTGTTTCGATTTCGCGTTTTTTCCCCAACTATTTCCCCTTAAAACATTGTACTTGAAGATCTGTATATGTTTTGTTCTGTAAATAACACATCATTAATTTCCAGATTTCATTGACGATGCAAGGGGCAGACATCTCGGTTCAACTGAGATGTTCGTTTTCACGAAAAGCCACACACCTTTGTTACATGTTTAGCTGCGCGCGTACACACGCGCGCCCATTCCATATGGAAAAAAATACGTACAACGGAATTAAAGGGAATATACATCATTTGCTTTTGCTGTAATTTTCAGAAATGGATGGAATTGGGGGGTTGGAAAGATATAGGAAATATAGTTACACTGAGTTTTTTGAGGTTTTGGGTTCGAAAATGCTATAAAAACCAAGAAAAACGAAATTTTTCCTGTAGTCTGGTTCCCTGACTCCATATAAGAAGAAACAGAGCAGTTTACATACATTGGGAAATTGTAAGATCAGGGAACCAGTCAAGCTGGCTCGTACCCGTTCATAGGTTTGTAATGATTGCAAACAAGTGCGATGGTCAATTGGGGCCAGTATTTGAAGGAAAAAAAGCCAGTTGTTTCCAACGCTGATTGGCCGATCAGCGTTGGAAATTGATACAAAAATACCACTTTTCTTGAAAATGAAAGTACTCCAGGTGCCATGATTTTACAGGATGCTTTACACTGTCATTCACTAACAGTCCAGCAAGGTATTTCAAAATGATTTGGTAGTTTTATTTTTTGATGTTTGCAAATGTTGTATTTTCCCTTTAATTAAATGCAGAAAACGTGAATTTTGTTTTTACAAAGAGACACATAATTATGTGTACAAGTTAATTGTCGCTCATTAACTACTGTGTTAATTATAATTACTGGGTTAAGTAAATGGTTTCCTTACTGTTCATGTGAGGGTTTCCTTACCGCACAAAGTTGTTGCAAAGCAGTATTTTTCGCAGTGGTGAATAAAGGGCAGAAACTTATTTTGCGATTATCTTGAAAACCCTTTTTCTTCAAAATCTGGATGTTTGGCTCTTCGTGATAACGGTGACGAATTACTGTCTCATGAAATTTAAAATAGTATGTCATGTCAGTACACCCATGACATCAGGTACATTTTGTTTGCGCTGATTAATTCTTCTTGATGTGTATCGTTGCATGTAAAGTCATTTTATAACTTAAATCATGTAATACCTAATTTAGTTACAATACATGTATCAGTAGTTGGACTACAATTTATAGCATGTCTCGTTACAACTAGAACATATTTTGCTACTGTGGGGGTAAATGTTTTATCATTATAGAGTATTCGCTCATTCTCCCGTTGATCCAGCATAGATGGGATGTAAACCTTATTTTACACTTTTTGGTGGATACAATTTAAAATAGTTGGCGGTAGGTAAACAGTGTTTAATAAGTTGTGACATTTAAACCTTATTGGATTGAGTTTCGATTTGAAGATTTAGAATGACGCTTGTAAATGCAAAACTGTATCTCCTTGTAATATTAAGCGTAAAATATTATCGCACATGATTTATTTTTTCATCAAGCATTGATCGCATTACAAACCTCACCACCTTACCGGTCTTGCCTGCACAGATGCAATTTAAAATTTGATATGTAAAGTGGTCATAAGATTCAATTTGCGTCAGGGTGATGTAAATTAAATGTTTTTGTTTCCCTTCAGAATGTAAGGTGGTTGCTTTTGTGTGAATTTTACAACTGGTTGTGTCGAGGTAAAATTCGTAAGTGGCAGCTCATAACTATGTTACACAATGACTGTCACTGCCAATTTTATTTGCAACATTAGTCAAAATTATGAAAATGTTCAAAGCTATAATTTGACTTTAAGGCAACGTACTCTCAGGAGAGCTGTTGTTTGGTTTATTTAAATATGTGGCAGTAGCTCATAAAATAGCAATCGAGTGTAGCAAAATTGTCGTGTATAAATCTGATTGAGTACGTTTTAGAATTCTGAAATTTGTTCGCACAGTCATTGATTCGTATAGTGCCTTCCGTGATTTTAAAAGTTAGTTATGGCAAGAATGTACTTGTGAATATTTTTTTTTTTTTCACTGAAGGAACTTGAATAACTAAATAATCATATTTTTTTAACATTTGTTTGGTATGACGTACTTTGTGTGTAGCTCGTTTTAGAATTGAAGTATTACTAATCACTGGAATTTATGTCAATAGTTTAACGCTAATAGCAAATGTTACTTTTCTTTTAGTTAAAAAGGATACAGCATTATTTTAGAATCAATGAAGATCTTTTCGCTAAAGTTGAACATTTGAGATTTGCTAATTTGTTGTTAACGTTTTAAGAGTCATATCCTTGATAATAGAAAATATATGTTCTTCTCTCTAGAAATGTGATGAGTGTTCAACTTTTAAAAATGTTGACATGTAAAAAGTTAAATTATTCAGTCCGGAAAAGAGCGGATTGTGAAGAGAATAACACCGGAGAAAAGCACTGTGGTCACTCGGCAATCATTTATTCGCTTGAAACAGTCCAACAAGCATGGTTTAACAATCACAAATACAATTTACCTGCTACCAGTTCTAATGATTAACAGGTCCATGTAACTACCAGCATGGCTAATTAAATTCCCATAGTTACCACATACATGCTAACGGTTATAACATTCCAATACTACGGATATTCCTACACCTAGAAGCCCAATCGCTTCACCCAAGTCCCTTGGGACTATACGGCTATCCCTACACTAATTTAGAAGCGCAATCACTTCTCACAAGTCCCAATGGACTACGGATATCCGTC